TTCTAGAAAAATTACAATTCCGGAATTCACACTACCTACGCTAGGAGGTCAAACTCTGACGCTGAATGATAAAGTCAAATATTTAGATCTTATAATTGATAGAAAACTGAATTGGAGACCAAATGTTGTTGCACGTACTCAAAAAGCTATGGTTACATTTTACTGTTGTAGAAGCGCTATAAGTAAAAGATGGGGACTCTCACCGAAGTCCATTTTATGGATATATAATATGGTGGTAAAATCAATTCTCCTGTATGGAGTATTATTTTGGAGAAGTACTCTGAATAGGTTAACAGCAAGGCAACTATATAGCAGATGAGCTCGCAAGACATGGTACGACAGCACAAATTCTTCTGGGAAAAGAAAGTGTGGGTATATCACTTGCTTTATCGGCATCGAATAAAATTATATACATACCAAATGTTTGAAAGAAGATGGTTAACAGTGACCAACAGAAATTAGTAAGAAAAGATCAAGGGAATTAATTAACCTATCCCGAGCAAATTTGTTCAAGATAGTGGGAATAATTACGGGTCTCCTTACATTGTAGACATTGCATGGAGGATGATGAAGAGGAATCACCAATACACCTTCTACTACAGTGTCCCGCTTTCGCAATACATAGATAAGACTCCTACGTAAGGTCACACTTTTCCAATTCACTAAGAGAGTGTCAATAACTTTGTGGCCAGTACCAAATGCTTATAGGGACAGTTGTCAAATTCTTTAGAGTATCACAATGGACCTCGTGATTTAAGTCAGTCTTCGGAAGGCCCTAGTAACCTAACCTAACCTATACTTGCTTTTTATGAGTATACTCTACGTATTAAGTACTTTTAGAAAAACATTCAGATTGATTAAAAACATTCAGAATGAATATTTATCAAACACAAAAAAAATAACGATGCATATTTTACAAAAAATAATATTTCTTTAATTAACAGTTAATATAAGTATTTAAATATTACAGGGTTAGGCAATTGACGTCTTAACAATTTAAGCGAACATATCTTTTCTGTGTGAAATTATTTTTTAATGATTTCAATTACAAAAATTTGTGAAAATAAATAAAATTTAAGAATCCATTCATTCTAGCTCGATATGATCACCTTTTGCCTTGACTTCAAACGGTTAAAAAATGAGACTTTGACACCAGGCTCGATGAAAACGATTGAAGAGCGTCCACCAGTAGTAACACCTGCCCATACCATTACTTGATATGGAAAATTACTTAGGGTGGCCATTCATAGTCTTAAATGGTTGTCAACGGCAGTGCGTTCGGTTTAGATCATTTTGAGAGTTTATGAATTGCTCAACGGCGAAAGTTTTTATAGAATTTTATTATAGAATACAATGTTTGGAAATGTTCTTTGGCCATTTTATTACCACTATGATGTGGTTTTTGTTTAAGTCGAGCTTCCACAAATATTTTATTAACTTTGAGCTCACTTTATTTAAGCTCACGAACAATAGCTGGTTGTAATTTTACAACCAAATATAACGCAATCACACTATTGAGTTCCATTTCGAATAATTTTTGTTCTATAAAACTTAGATGCAAATACTTGTGGTAATTCGTGTAAATTTCACGTAGTTGGCAATATCATTTTGACAGATATACCTGTTCTAATGAACTTTTTCTTTGGTTCATTTTGAGTTGGAATATACTCAGCCGTCGTCCAAAGGTCTTAGAAGAAAATTTATTTGTTGAGACTCTTCCGTTTTACTCTGATACCTAAATCAAAAATAAACGACCTCCCCCGTTCACTGTTGAAATGGTCGGAGACTTTAGGTAAATGTTCAAACCATCTTCTGCTTCCGACATTATGATACATACACACTTTACTATTGAAACCAGGTGTGTTATACTCTGTATAACCTGGATTCAGTCACTGGTATATATATATATAAAACGGAAGTCTCAGAGTCTCAACAAATAAATTTTCTTCTAAGACCCTTGGACGACGGCTGAGTATATTCCAACTCAAAATGAACCATATATATATATATATATATATGTTTATTCGCAACTTGGTCTATTTTAAATAATATAAATACTTGAATTTTCTGATCAATTGACTTTGAGCATTTCCATGTTTTAGAGCTATAATAAAATAAATAAAATACTAACTTAACGTTAGTATTGTGTGATCTGACTTTAACACCACGTGCAGCAACGTCTTCGTCCGCACGAGGTACAAAAAGCGATCGACACATGTTTAGATAGATTAACAAATAGGCGACAGGATGCAATCTTGACGAGCAATAGTAGAAATTTCAAATGGATCTGAGAATTTCCCTATATGAAGGATATGGCATCTGTATGTTAATTTGTGTATGTTGCCTTCATTATTTGTAACATTTTTATTGGCATACCTCTTCTTAGCAACCGCAACATAAAAACGCGTACCATGCTGTCAAAAGATTTTTTAAAGTTATTTAATGTTTAACCGTATTGTTTTTGTGCACTATTTGTGAGTTCAGTGTTGACTTTTCTAGTCAGCCATGCCCGCGGATTTGTAACAATAAATTCTTAAGTGATAAAATTTTAGTCGTTACAGTGTTTATAATTAATAACACTAACCCTGTATATTCGGTAATATAAAAGTATTCACTAGTTTATGTCGGTAGATGGTAGAAGTAGCTTTACATCTACCAACACAAATTCGGGTCTATTCCTCAACTGTGTAAACTGAAGTGTACACAAAAATTTGCTTACATTTCGATTTTGCTGTTTCTCAAATGTGAATAGTGAGTGAATTTTTCTGTCAAAAAGTGTAAACTCTTCTCAAATTTTATTCACTATAAATTTGGTCGGGAGTTTTTAAAAAGATAGATAATTTTGGGCAAAATTATATACATACATATTTTTTTATATATTTTTTTTTATAGGTTTTAAAAATGATAAAATGTAAAAAAGCAAGTAAAAGCAACAAAAGTTCGTACTCAAATATCAATATAAAATTTTCTAACGATACTAAAATTTTGAAACTTATGTATGTTATAAGAACTGCAAAAAAACTACGAGTATAAAAATATAAAACAAAAATTTTTAATATAATAATTATTATAAAATTGCATTATAACAAAATTGCCATTTTGTTTACTTATTTATTCTCGATAACTGAGTTTATTCAGTGTAAATACAAATTTTTTCAGTGATAGCACTTGTGGATTAGCATTTTACAAGAAAGTGTAAACTGCGGTAAGAAATGAGTTTTTCGTTTGGTGTACCCAAATTTTTTTTTACAGTTGAGTAATTGACTCCCAGGTCACATTTTTTATGAAGTTGAAGTTGTGTAATTTATCGCTCATTTAAAAAGTTATATTAATTTGAAAATAAATGAAATATTAGAAAAAATACACTATGTGATGCTTTATTATTATAATAAAGGTAAAAATGGTGCAAGAACACGTCGAAAAATTTGTGAGGTTCACGTTGAGGATGCTATGACGCCACACCTTGCAATGATTGGATTCTGTTACGGAAATTTCGATCTCATAGAAGCACCTCGCTATACTCGGTCAAATCATTAAGAAAGTTGATTATATTTTGCAACTGGGGAAAAATACCAACACGCTTGCAACAAGAGCATATTCCTCAAATATATCCGAAGTTTGGGTACCATACAAATTGAAGCAACATAATTTGATTGATCGAATTATCATCAGTAGAACGCTGCTAAAACATAATTAAATACGAAAATATTTATCAAAGGTCGACTTCAAATTCTGGATTGGCGGCAAACAAAGTAATGTGGGAGTACTACTCTAGCTTGGTAATCTTCCACCGTCCAACTTTCATTTGGTTCGATCTCTGTAAAACTCTCTTAATGGTTAGAAATTAGTTGACTGTGGAGCAATTTTTTACCGAGTAACTTTAAAAGTCCTACATAGATTGAATTATGAAGCTGGTCATAAAATAGCAAAATGGCATAATTAAAAACAACAATTTTTCTAATTAATAATTGAAAAAAAAAAAAACTAAACACAATACAATTGGCGGATGCAAAAAAGAAGTATAAATTTATAATAAAATTAAATGAATTTTTTTTAATTAAAATTTATAACAAAAGAAAAAAATTTGTGTCAAAATTACGTTAAGGTGGTATAAAGAATTTTATTCACGCTGGTTTATGAGTACCAAATGAACACAGTTATTGCTATTAATAATCAGAATAGCGATTACTACATAGACCAACTGGTGTGTTTGAAGGATGTAATGGCGAAACAACAGTGCCACAAATCGTCGGCTACCATGAACAAATTTCACGAATAACACTTCAAATTGCTTTTGCAATTACCGTATTCGCCACATTTGGACTCTAGCGATTGTTATTTGTTTGCAGGAAAAATGCTTCAGGGAAAAAAATTTAGCTTCGATGAAAGATTATTATCGCCAAAACTGAGGAATATCTTAAGGCCAAAGATGACTGATTGTACAAGAGTGGCATCGAAACGTTGGAGAAGCGTTGAAATGATAGTATTACTTTTAAAGGGCACTCCGTTGAGGAATAAAGTCGAATTTTGTTAAAAAGTTGTGGTTTTGTTGGTTATCTACGAACTTATTAGCCGATGTGTTACATAATATAAATGAAGTGACATCTGTTATAGATACCGTAACTGATAAACTATTAGGGAAACTCAAAGTCATTAAACATAGCAAACGCACTTCTACATAAAATTATGTTTATAGTATAAGTTAATTTTGATAAATTGTCATACAAATATGAATCACTTAAAACAAACAATTAAATAGTCAAAATTTGGAGTATACACCAATAAAAAAATCGTAAGCAGTTATAAGATAAATTTTGCGTACATACTTTTTATTTCAACTATTTCTTCTTACAAAGTTTTTCGATACAGATGTTTTTATTTAATGTTCTAAAAACCGTTAGAATAATTGCAACTCTTGCATTACGATTTATAAAAATGACAAATTGAAATTCAATAAACTTGCTTTTTAAAAAACACGAATAAAAAATTGTCTGACTTACCCAAATAAGATTGAAAAGTTTATACAGTGGATTGTAAATGTTAACAGCCAAACTACAAAACCAAATTCGCAAAGTTGAAACACTTCATCTAATACTATTATTGTAAATCCGTGTTTTTGGTGATAATTATACATTTTCGTAAAAAATGAATCTAAGTCTTCGATATGATTCCAACGTGCTAGAAAACAATATAAAAATATAAAAATTGTGTTAAATTTAATATGTTTATGCTAACTAAAAGTTATACGCGACAGTTAAATTAAATTTATCCTTAATTTCAAATGTGATTCATATAATTTTATAAAATTACGCTTATATGAATACGCTCATTTATGAGGTTCAAAAAGCGACACAACGTCGCATACGCAAGCGTATGCATTGAGTGGACAGAAAAGTTAAGTGAATTGATTACAGATTACGATGCTATAGACATTTTTAACGCAGATGAAACTGGCTGTTTTATAAATGCTTGCCAGAGAAAACTTGTTGGTTTAGGAATGAAAAATGTCATGGTGGTAAGCATAGTAAAGAACGTGTTACTTTATTACTTGCTGTAAACATGGATTGCACCGAAAAAATCGTACCACTACAAATTGGAAAATCTGCAAATTCAAGGTGTTTTAAGAACATTTGCAGCTTTCCAATAATTTACTGACACAATAAGAAGGCGTGGAGGACAATGAATCTATTTAATGAATGGCTTCAGATGCTGAATGATTTAATGACAGCTAAAAATCGAAAGATACTGTTATTTCTGGATAATTGTACAGCGCACATTAGCTCCCCTAATCTCAGCCACGAAAAATAAATTTTTTGCCACTAAACACCACTTTCAAGCTGCAGCCCCTTGACCAGGGAGTTATAAAAAATTTTAAATTATTTTATCCCAATGAAATGGTTATTAATCTGGCTAATAGCACTGTATTCAAAACTGCTTCCGGGCTTGCGGTTTTAGGTACTAATGATTTAAACAAAAATTTACATTAAGACCGAAAAGTTTTCGGAAATTCTCATTTAAAATTCGCGCGCTGTATATTTTTCGATATTTTAAGTTTATGTAGTTTGGCAGCAATTAAGGAAAATTACTATGCCAAAAATGAGCGCGATCTGTCAGACAGTTCGTTTACGGCAGCTGTTGAAACCAGTTCACCTCAGTAGTGCGTTGCGAAAAAAACAATGGAAAAAAATATTGAACAAAGAGTTTGCATCAAATTTTGTGTTTCGAACGAAATTTCGTGTGCAGAATCGTTGCGAATGCTACAAAAGGCTTATGGGGAATCAGTTTTATCGAAAACTCAAGTTTATGAGTGGTACAAAGCCTTTCAGGACGGTCGTACGACCGTCGAAGACATTTCGCAACGCACTACTGAGGTGAACTGGTTTCAACAGCTGCCGTAAACGAACTGTCTGACAGATCGCGCTCATTTTTGGCATAGTAATTAAGGACAGTGCTGCCAAACTACATAAACTTAAAATATCGAAAAATATACAGCGCGCGAATTTTAAATGAGAATTTCCGAAAACTTTTCAGTCTTAATGTATGTCAAGTTAAACAATTCCACATAGATAATCTATGGTACCGTACATGTGAAAATATTTTAAAATGTCACCCTTTTTCATGATTACGTGAACATTGATAATGACGTGGTCATTCAAAAACTACGATATTTTGTTTCAAATCATGATGTCCAAAAAAATGTACCTCTTCATATGAAGTTTGGAAAAATCATTTGAAGAGGTAGTCGAAAAAAATCTGGCAATCAACAGTTACAAACTTTTTTAAAGTTAAAACTTGATCTTTCTCCATTTCGTTTTTATTTTCTTATTAATTTAATAGTAAGAAGGATGTAAATACATATGTAAATTAAATTGTTAGTTCTAATAAAGTTATATATGTTATATTCTCTGCTCAAAAAGCATGGATTTTGTAAATAAAACACACAAATTTAAATTTTATTCCAAATTTATTTTATCTCCTTCAAAATATGCTCCTTCTGATGCGATACACATATGCCAACGTTTAATCCAATCTTACATACACATTTTTAGTAGGCCCGTGAAGGTATGACTTTTAGTTCATTCAGCGAATTCTCTTTTACCGTTTCAATCGACTCTATACGCTTACCAAGAAGGGGCAATTTGAGTTTCGGGAACAGGAAAAAGTCGCACGGCGCCAGATCTGGCGAATATGGAACCTGAGCGATGACAGTGGTGCCGTGTTTGGTCAAAAAATCGCGTACAACAAGAGCCGTGTGCGATGGAGCATTGTCGTGGTGTAGAGTCCAATTGTTGGCTTTCCACAAATCTGGTCTTTTCTTACGGATAGACTCACACAAATGCCGCATAACGCCGAGGTAATTTTCTTTATTAATGGTATGACCCTCTGGAAAAAATTCGTAATGAACAACACCGCGGTAGTCGAAAAAAACAGTGAGCATAACTTTAATTTTCGAGCGATTTTTGCGCGGTTTCTTACTCAAAAACCCATGTCTCATCACCGGTTATGATGCGTTTCATGAATGTAGTCGTTTCCATGCTCAAAAATCATTTCTTCACACACGTTTTTTCGGTATTCTTTTTGCAAAAAATCATAAATATTGGGCATCTCATCCTTAAAGTCTATTACATAAAGAGTAGTTAACTGCTTACTTTTTCAGCAGAAGATAAATTATTTGAAAATCAACTGAAATATAAAAGCCCCGTCAAATCGTATTTTCTTCGTTTTTAACTTCATATCCTTGATAACTCAAAAACCCCTCCAATTCTTAAAAATCCCTTGGGATTTCGATTTATAGTGGTTCGACTGTATAAGAAAAATAATAATGGAAAAATGTATAGAAGTCACTAAAATCACTAATAATGCTTCCTGGTTATTACGATATTGCTTCGAAAACATTTGGCATTGATAGCATCTAAAGACAAGCTTCACATAATGCAAAATTATAAAAATTAAAAAAAATTATATTTAATTATTACTAGCAAAACAAAACTAAAAGCTAAAAGAAATTGATTTATTTACTGACAAAATTTAAGTTAATATGAAAATTAACAATAAACTTAATAATATAGAAGCAAAAAAAAACAAACAAACCAACAAATCAATGATGAAAAGGAAAGGAAAGAAACTAATAAAAAAGACAGAATTAATAAAAAAGAACAGAATTAATAAAAAAAAACAGAATTAATAATAATAAAAACAAAATTAATAAAAAAAAAACAGAATTAATAAAAAAAAAACAGAATTAATAAAAAAAAACAGAATTAATAAAAAAAAGACATTATTTAAAAGAACGCAAAACAAATAAACGTGACGTTAAAATAATTCGCTTTTTAACCATTTCTTAAAAACTCCCGTGCTACTGCATTCTGGTTGTGCTTGAAAGAGCTATTCAGTCCATATTTTGACTGAATGGAAAAAAACTTAGTAGTGAACGCGAAGTTATATCTAGAAATAATGAAAAGACGAGATGTGTTTGACTTAGTTGGCTGCAAGCAATCAAAAAGGTACTTCGGCATCGTAGCGGATACAACTCTGAACAAAAACTAGCAGACACGAATCTTTACATATTGTTCAATAGCATACCCTACAATCGTTTCTATATCAAAGCGTTTCTATAAATATCTAAGTGATCAAAGCGTCTGAGTCCAAAAACATATCGCGTACTGTAGTTTACAAAACATTGTAACTTGAGGTATTCAACATCAAGTTTTGAGTACACTAAAGAGGAGTGCATAACCATCGAAATAATTAGTTTTACTACAATGACACGTTTATTAATAGGTGTACACAGATTGGTTCAGACATCTCATACAAGCAAAAGATTTCCTAATAACTTGGTTAACATGTTCGCAAGCAAGATAATTTGAGTTTAAATGGCAACCCAGATATTTTACAAATTAGTATATTTAATAATTGAATTGCCAATTGATACAGTTAGAAATAAATCAACATTTATATTTATTATAGCTATTGGTAGAAGTTTTGTTTGCATAAAGCGTGTATTACCCATCAGATTTAGTCTTACAACTTGTCTGTTGAAATGCAAAATTTGTGCCAAATCTGATGTGTGATACCAATACAGGTCTGACATCAGAATATTTTGGTTTTTCGTCAAAATTGTTCGTGTTTTTTGTATACAATCGAATTTTTGTCGGCTCGCATGCAAAATTTCATTCTATTTTAAGGAATAGAAGCGAACGTATCGTTGAAATGCATGCATCATTTTATTTTGAAGTTTATTAGGCCTATTCTGAATACTTCCAGGGAACAAAACTCCCTATTCCCACGCTGTTCCCAATCACACAACTCCCTTATTCTGAATTGCTTGGGAGTTTTGGAAACAACAGTTTCAAATTTGTTTTGTTAAATTTTGGCAACCATGCCACTTTTTAATGACGAAAAGTGTGAAAATGAGCAAAACAAAGAAAAGAATTGCGTATCATATGTTGATTTAAATGTAAAAATCGCATTATTTGTTTGCTGCACAAATGATCGGAAATAAATATAAGTTATTTTATGAGTAAATAATAAATAATAAAATAATAAATAATAAAAAAACTTTTATTTTAATGAGAAAAATAAATATATAAAAAGAATTGTGCATGAGCAAAATAAACAAGAAATGTGCAGTTGTTAATGATTATTTAAATAAAAAATTTTAAAAAAGTTTTCACAAATGCATTCAATTGCATTTCGAGTTTTTGCGGAGGATTTGGCTCAAGAACAGGAGCAAGAAATTTTGCAACAGAGGATCAATCGCAGAAACTTACATGTTAAATTCAACTCATTTCTAAATTTTTAACTCTTTTTTAACTAATTAAAAAACAATCTTACGTTATGATATCATTCTTCAATGTCTTTATTTTTAAACATCCACTGCTTTTATACAAAATTTGCGTAAATTATAATTTAATTTTTTTATATAATTAGGATAGAAATGTCCTTCATGCTTCAATTAATGAATTAATAATTGTTTATGATTGTGCAGATGTTACAATAAAAAAGAAGCAATGTTTTACCTGCGCATAATTGCAAAAGTTTATTTTAACTTATTCTAGGAATCCCCTTCATTTCAGAATTTGGTTTCCTTTCATTTTTCTATTGTTTTAAAAACAATAGTTAACACTTTAATTAGTGAAAAAATTAAAATAAATAAATAAATAAATAAAATAATAAAA